CGTTGCTTGCAACAAAAGTAGCTTTCAGATTAAAATATGTAAGTTCTAAATTTGAAATCTCACTTCCAACTTGGCTTTGAAGTTTCGCTATGCAAAATAATTTTTTGACCTGACTGCAACACAAACTGCATCTGCCAAAAACTATGACATTCATTGTTGCGATAAAACTCATAAAACTCAGTTGCACAACTCTGCCTCTAAGAGTTCAAGTCAAGGAAAAATCAAAAATATTAGATTCTCTGGTAACTGTTGTCCTAGAAATAAAACTGAGCATACTCCTAAATACGCTTCGCAAATTCTATTATTTAACCTGTAATTTTCTAGTATTCTTGTCGGCAACTGCAAAAAAAACAAAAAAATAGAAATAAAAAAAGAAAAACAAAAAAAAAGAGAAATTTTTTAATGATCTATCAATGACCATTAGGAGTCCAAAACGGAAATGTAAAAAGATTACTAAACAGATTTTTAAAAAGTAACTTTTCCAGAATTTTTTTACAAAAATGCTAAGCAATTTGAAATTAGAGGAAGTCCAAAATCGGAACGAATTGTAAAAATTTTGATTTCTAAAAAGCAAAGAGCCTACAAAGCCAAACAAAAGAGTTGTGCTAAAATGCAATTCCACAATCTACATACAATAAATTTTGGAAATAGGCGAAATTAGAATAATGACATGTACTTTTGGAAGGAATGAAAGAAAGAATGAACCTGATCGGTAATGGCAACACTCTCTCCAGCTATCACGAGTCGACAGATATTCTGAATTATATTCTTTTCCTGAAACGCACATTTGACAACCAACCTGACAGTAATCGACAATGACGAGTGTACAGTAAACGAATTACCTGTTGTGACATAGGCAGAAAACCACAAAGCCATCTTTCTAGCATGTCCAGGCAAAACAAATTAGCTGTTTCGTTGCTTGATTCTCCAGACACTGATAATCCAGAAATAAACATTATATACCTGAACCAAATAATCGTTCAATTTTCTGACTAAAGACGTTAAAAATTGCAGCTGAGGAAGTTATAACCTATCGTATTTCAAAGAAGGAAAAGGAGGTTGCGGTGCCATACTCGGCCACACGATATTTCGAACCTCAAATACATTAGCCCCCACCAAAGTCCCAATAATCCCAACTATGCAACCGGTTGCCACGTCATTCATAGATATCGCGCCATTTAGACGGACATGCTGATCACCGTCCTGCAGCTCCAAATAATCTTCGCTCCCTAATAAACTAAATTCAAATGCTTCTAACTATTTGCATGACTGTATTACCTTAAAAAATTATCAGTAAAGAAAAGTAAGCTAACAAACTTTTCGTCTACTACTGCATCTGGTAAGATGAGCTCATGCGCTGCAACTGCTCTGAGGACACTAGGTCTCTGCTGAACGCGTTTGATTATAATACCCACAACAAGACCTTTTTTCAGCTTTTTTAGATCTATTAGGGAATGCGGTTCAACATCATCACCTAAAGTTTACAGAGGATCTTCCACCGGATCTAAGTGCTTAACTTTTATAGAAAGAATCATCCTACACAGCCTCTAAAGTACCCAGATTTTAACAGATGTCAAGTTTGACTAAGAAGATAGAAAAAAGGTATAATAAAAACCATATTTCTTTTTGGCGGCCTCTACAATGCGTGGTTTCAGTGCCTTCACTCTTTCGCAGTATATGTGATAAAATTGACGATGAAAACAACTTTCAGCAACGTCTGAATCTTTCAACAGGTATCTGTTAGAGCAATTGTGGTAGGTTCCGCTACTACGAGTCGCTTGTACCATTATCCGGTCATTGGATTTTCTTATATCTGTATGTACACAAAGTTATACCAGAAGCACGCAAATGAAAAACAACACAAGAAAAGTAAACCAGCGACAAGTGAAGATATGCAAGAAAGAAAAAGCAAAAATGCATCAGATTAAGGTTGAAGCATGAGGAAAAGATGTTTGGCGAAGTAAGCTGTCTACACACAATACGAGGTCTTATGTTTAATTCATTTTCAGCCTGTCGCTGGAGATCCCGCCAACACTAAATGCCTTTACGCTGGAATCATTCCAACCATTTGAACATGAAGTTTGACATGATTATTATTCCGTAACGGTTTTCATGTATTCTGGAAGCTTGTTCGGGATGGACCCTACAATCAATAGGGCGCTCTAAGGATGACCTACTCAGTTGTGCTGGTCATCATCCCCTTTCTTGGAACTGGACCTGGTTTTTTCTTTAAGCTATCTATTTTTTTTTTGTAGGAGCCTGCTCAAACTCAGAAGGGTTTTTGTCTGTTTAGGGTGTTTATCCAGAAATCAGTCTATAATCAGTACAGTGTACTGGAAATGAACTGTTCAGCTATATTGGTTTAGCTGCGGAGAATCGCTCGTTTTCCGGCGTGTACTAGCTTGAAAAGCTTCCAAAGTCAATTGAGCTATGGGCAATATACTAGTTTCCTAAGATCAAATTATTTGTTGAGCGGCGGCGGTGCTGAGCGACTGGATGTCCGACAAACGCCTGGAATCAATGAAAGAAAGACTACTGTACTCTCAAGTTAACAAAATATGGAACTTCCAAACTTGAAAAAGTGCACGACTCCCTTTTCATTGAACTTGAACAACTCAATTAAAGAATATGCGATTTTGGCCTAATCCCGAAATCTGTATTCTGCATAGAAAAACGGCTTTTTAAAAGTGCAGGAGGTTTTTGCATAAAACGAAGATTCACTCCAAAAGGCGACCAGAAAATCAAGAAAAAGAAAAAAATAAATAAATTTGTCGACTCTTCCCCACGGGACTAGTACAGTTGGGTAGGTATTTATTGGGCATTTTAACGACCATAAACTTATTAAAAAATGGGCGTCCCGAACACATCTAAACCGTCATTTGATTATAGGACATTATGACCACGTCAAGATTCGACTTTAAAAGTTTGAATAATTCCAGCAGACATACACTTTCGTATTGGTTGGGTTTTCAACGGAAGGGTAGACTTGAAATATCGTGTACTACTCGGTTTTAAAAGAAAAGTTTTGAAATGAAAAGTTACCTTAAAGTCTTTTCCGTCCACAGCGTTTTATTTATTAGTGGACTTCCGTAATTGGTTCCACCAAACTTTACACGGTTGCTTTAGTGAAATCCTTTATTACAAATTTACAGTAGCTAAAGCCCTTTAGTTTCAATATAACAAGGTAAAAATGGAGTGAAAAATGAAGTGAATTTTATTTTGTTTTTTAGTGATCAGCAGAGTTGCAGAATCTGAAAAAATCTTTAAGACATTAAGTGAGAAGGTGTGTGAATTGGCATGGAACCGCCCATGTATATTTCAAGGATGCGCCTCCAAAGTCAACGACGTTAAAGCTTATTACGGTCGAAGGGACATGTCGTTTTCTTTAGATCTTGACTATGGACTTCAGAATTCATTCGTGCTGCTGGAGACTTCAGTTAGCAAGATGGAAATTTACAAATAGTAGTGAGAAAATATAAACCGATCTAACCGTTTTTGGATATCTGGAGCCAGAGAGTCTGGTGAGGAAAGTGGTACATTAGTACAGTACACTAGTGAATGATAATTGGAAGTAGTAGCGTTTTAATAGGGCTGCATAAAGTGTTTATTCGCCTGAGTTCAATGTGAGTAATGCAGTTCCAAAAAAATGTGATGATTTCATGGAAATGGACTTTATATAGCGCTTAGATGAACTCGGCATCAAGTGGTGCGGAATGAAGTAGCAAAACTCTCTCCTTTATCTATTGCCCTCCACCTAACGCATCTTCGTCTCCGCTGCCAAAGCTACATCGTCTTTTTACTTCTAAAAAAATAAACAATTTAAAAGAAGTAAAACTAGTCAGCTCTTAAATTTCTGGCCTATGCTGGCATCTCAGCAAACGTACAGTGGGTCGATTTCCTTAACTCTAAATTTTACAGAGCCTTTAGGCGCATGTATATGCACTTTAAGGTTACTAGACTAGTAAGCGAAACTAGTAGCAATAAAAGCCAAAGACCTGCCGCTACACCAAAACACCTGAATGAAAGAGTAAACAAAAGACCGTTCTTATAATATTTGTAAAAGAGCACGGGTCTGCGTCGCTACTGTAGTCCCCTTCCCCTCCGCTGCTATCCCCTTCCCATTGTCGTTACCCCTTTTCTCAATAAACAGCAGTTAACCAATCAGCGCACTGAGACCGTCAGTGTGTAAAAGTACCGTACCCTAAACACCGGAAATTCGATAGCAACAAACTGTCCGGCAGAAGTTTTCTTCGATGTTGTATTCAGTTTCGTTAAGATTATTTCACAGTCGTGGACTTTCAATCAGAAATTAGAAAAATGCTCGTGGTCAGCAAAATAATGTCATTTGAGTATAACGACGTAAACACCAAACTGTAAAGGAAGGAGAGTGGCGGTTGATGGACTAGCCTATATACAAGACGTCAAAAAGAGGAACAATCGGGATTGAATGAAGAATCTAATTACTCCCGGATATAGAACGAAAAGATTAAAAAGTTAATGAAGAAGACTGCGAATAAACCTTTTACTCTATATTTTTATCTCATTCATCAATTTTACACTTTATTCTAACCCTTACCTAAATTCTCAACTAGTTTTATTTATCCTTTAAATTTTAATTTCAAACCTTATTTCAGTATCATCCTTTCTCATTCCTGTTCCTATAATAATCTTAATCTTCATTTTATTTCTGATTTTAATTCTCAATCTTGTTTCAGCTTTTACTTTTACACATGCAGTTTTAATCTCAGTTTAAACTATTTGAATTTTATTGACTACTTAAACTCTTATATTTATTCCCCCTAAAGTTTGAATTGACACTTTAATTCTGTTTCTTGTATTAAAATTCCAATTTTATTTTCAGTTGTTGCTTCAATTTGAATTTCCATCATAACTTTAACTTCAATCTCGATTTTTTATTTTAATTTCAAGTTTCTTTTTAACTCTTATTTTAATTTAAATTTATATTTCAATTTCCAGTTAACTTTTAACATCAGCTTTAATTTCAACTTCAACGTTAGTTTCAACTCTAATTTTCACTTCCACTTTAAATTTTATCTTTATTTCAAAATTCAGATTAAAATTTACTTTTGTTTATTATTTAAATTTGGATTTAATTTTCGATCGCTTTATTTTAATTTTAATTTTAATTTTAATTGTTATCTTTATTTACATCTCATTCCAATTTGAGTGTATTATAATTTATACATCATTTTTTCTTTTAACTTCAGGCTTTTACTTTAAAACTTATTTTTACGTAAAATTTTATTTTAATCTTAGTTAAGGGTTCAACTTTAAATTTAAATTAAATTTGAACTTAATCTGAATGTTAATTTTATTTTTGGCTTTGATTTAAACTTGAACTTAAATTTTCAACTCAATTTTTTGTTTTTTTTTTCTTCTGATTTTTACTTCAGTTCTCATTTAAATTATGAATTAATTTTGAAATTGAATTCAATTTCAGTTTAAATTTAAATTTAAATTTTTTTGGTCTTTTGAACAGTTTGGTGGCACTGCACTATAATTTCTTCGTGTACCTATAAACTGATTTTGCCTTCCAAATTTATCTCAATCTTGGAAACTTCATCTTCAATTTGATTTCAAAATTTATATTATAAGTACGATGGTGTTCAAAAACCTATTCAGAATCGGTTTTTAAAAGAAACATTTAAGTGGATTATTGTGACCAACTTACAGTGCTTTAGCAACGGGTTCACCGCTTTTTAGTGTTTGAGAGCAACCCTTTGAGCTCGTTATTTCTTCTTGGTACAATGTTCCATTTCATTTCTTGAGGTATCAAAATAAATAAACAGAACGAAACTGTTGTAGAGGTAAGTAGAAAAATAAAAACATCCTTCAAAACAAATGCGTTACTTTCCAGACAAACTATAAATTTCATTTCTGAGGACAAAAGCAGGTTAAA